GGAAACAACTAAAATGAGGTAGGTCCAATCGACACGGTGAGATGCAGGAATACGACTTAATGTAGAATGCCCCCAATAAAGAATGATTCCAAGTATAAAGAACAACAAGGATAAAGAGACCAAGATTCGAACCTAGGGCATGCACATACAGAGTCACACCGGCAATGCATATGAGGCTATATTTACATACAAATAAATATACAAATGATCGGATAGTGAAATTGTGAGGAGTCCGTTAAATGAAACAAAAAAATAAAAGTGTAAACAAAATTGAACTCATAAGCATATAGAGAAAATTACCATAAAGAATTGCGGCAATTGATAAGCTCTAACAAAAGAGATTCAGTTGAAACTTATGCGCCAACTACCCTAAATCAGCAACAGAATCCTTTTACTAGACTGCGGTTGACTATTCCAACCTCTGTTGAGAATCTTCTACTCGATTGTAGATGAAGATGTAGCCAACTGACGATGAGTTATCTATTACTTCCACCTCAGAAGCCTAAAATGTACCATTTTCATCTTGAATAGGACACTTTAAAATGAAATAGGACAATTTAAAATCAAATCGTACAATTTTACGACCAAATCGGACACTTTTCAAATCAAATCAGACACCTTTCAAAACCATTGGACACTTGCCAAACCAAAATGGACACATCCCTCACATTAGGCCTCACCTCGATTGAACAACTGCACCAAACTTTTGAAGCCCCGTCCCAACACACAGCAGAGTTCAGCGCGCAAATAATTAAAAAAACCGTTTTGTGATTGCTGACTTTTCGCACTTTTGCTATTTCGCACACTTACTAATTGTAAAAGGAAAAGAAAGGAGGAAAAGTGCGTACCGGAACAACTACTACTCCACCCTCTTTTTAATGAAGTTAACGCATGCTTTGAACTTCATAACTTTCTTCAACGTCGTTCTTTTCACCTTTATTCTTCACAAAGCGAATGTACCCATAAATATGCATGTATACACTGGCACTCTAAGTCCCGCCCTTTGACCACGCCCCCTTTTGCGTCTATTCTTCAAAATTCAGTCTTTTCTTCAAAATTTGCACCTTTTCAGACCGTCAACGAGTGGGCCCACTTTGGAAGCTCCGCTCATTTCACGGAAGCTCCACCCGTTCTTGAAAAATGGTTCAAATCTGCAGGCCAGTGTGCCGCTGGCTGGTTATGGTCTTGCTCATCACACGCCACAGGAAGCCAGAAACCAGAAAAGTCTTTGTTCAGACTTCGCGTCGACGTCATTGATGGAAGGGCCGAGTGAGGCGTGGCCAAAAGCCCTTTTGCAGCCTCTCCATCACTGACGATGGCAACTGCCCGCCTCCAGCAATCGCGCCAACTGCCTTCAGAGCGTTTTCTAATACACTAAACATATTTTGAAGTTGGTTTTACAATGATAACTGCTGTTTGACGCCGCAGTTCGCGCTCTGAGCTAAATACACTAAACATCTTTCCCTTTTTTATAATATATCTCTGAGAAAACTAGAGCTCAGATGAAAATCGAACGAGGTTTCACCCATGAGATTTGAAAACGAAGCAACCGCTACAAGGATATCCAATAAAATAATCTTACTGTACATAGCAATACCACCAGAAATTTGGAAACATACCTTCGTAATCGTGTTATCATTGCAATCTAACCACTCTCGTCTCGTAGCGTCTAGAGCAAAAGTGGAATAGTGACCTGAAAAGTAATAAGATGGTTACCGTTCCAGAAAACCAAAGCTTAGAAAGCACAGAGGTAGAAATGCTAGTGCTACAGAACATGCTACTCGGAACATTGAAAATCCTATTTTCCAATTTTTTTTCGTGCTGATCAAGTACCCAAGTTGGGCCATTACCCCCTCCCCCCCCGCCAACTGTGCATGAAACTACACCTTCTGGCGCGGTTATGGTCACAGACATATCAAACATATCAAATATGTCTTAACGTTTTCAATGACACAAGCGGGCTACCAAGACATTTATTTCAGAACTCAGAAGTCTGAAATAAATTGTAAAATTGCGAAGTAAATATATTGGCAAACTTTTTGTGACATTTACAACAGAGATACTCACGAGGCTCCGCTAAAGCACAGCACAAAAATATCAAATATGAATGCTTTTCACTTATAAGGAACTTTCTTGCCATTCCACCTACGAGCCAGGGATAAAGGAAATCTAGAAATACTCTCTTCCCAACCAACAAACCAAATCAGGTTCCATAACCTTGTTGCAGCTTCTTTAAGAGAATGAAGAAGACAAATGATAACACGACAGAAAGTACTAACCACTGAGTAACGAATCCCCATGGTGGCAGATGACTGCTGCCAAGGAGTATACAGGGCCATCGGCCGAATTGAACACATACGGTGGCTCTGGAGTACGTGGTGGTGTGGTTGACTCCTAAAAAGCTTTCAGCTCTCCAAAAAATTTTGGCAAAAAAATAGTTGAAATTTGACAACAAATCTCCACCTTCGGTACTTCGCGAACATCCTTGCGAGGACGCAGATTCCTTCTCGACTGAAATCAGGACATGAGTATCATGGAGAGGATCACGTTAGCTTCATATGGGATCTTGAGACCCTAGTAAACCTTGAATAAGAAATTAACTCACGCTCGATTGTTCCACGCTGACGGCCGGTTGGAAATGACAACCGCTAGCGTTACAGATGAAGATAGCACCTTTATTGTCAGTACACTCATCTCGATGCAAATCTGAAATCGGGCAAGGCTGGAGACAGACCTTTGAAGCTAAAAGGAGTGATAAATGAGAAAAGCAATCAACAAAGCTTCGGAAGTAGAAAAGAAAGTGAAATAAGTGTTTGCTTACTAATCGGAGGGGAGCCGTCACTATTCCAGCGGAAAAGTGGTCTATATTTTAACCATTTTCCTTCAAGGAATGTATAAATATTCACTCCAAGCCAACAAGCTGCTGCAGCCAGCTCAACTTGCGTTCCCCATTCTCCATCTTCGGACATTCTCCTGTAATTTGAGGCTACGTTTACATAAACTGCTATAAAAAAAGAACGAAGCGTTAGTATGAGCCCCGATAGATGGCTTGATTAACAGGGAAAATAGGCGTCGATTGAACATCCAAAATGAGGGTAAGTCATACGACATGGTGAGATGCATGTATGACTTTATGTAGAATGATGAGGATTCCATGTACAAAAAACATGGATAAAGATACCACCTAGGGCATGCACATGCAGAGCACACTGGCAGAGGGGGGGGGGGGGGGGGGGGGGCCGGGGGGGTGGGGGGGGGGGGAGGGGGGGGGGGGGGGGGGGCGGGGATAAAGGCCATATTCACATACAAAGGAAATCTGCAACGATAGATGGGTTGATTATCACTTGAAAAAAACAACTCCTATCTGAACGTGAAAAAATGATGCGGAAAAAGCTCAACTGCGAAACTCTGAAAACTCTCAAAAAAAACCCGAAGTTGTCGCAAAATTGTTCCACTCTTCAAACTTTTCCGCGTTATGCATGGCATCCTGCTCACTACACAAAAGCTCCCAACCTGACAGCCATGTCAGCTGGATGCTTATATCCCAATGTGGTGGCTTGTTGGATTCAATATGGCACACGCAGTGAATGTGGGGACCAGCCGTTGCTTCTACCGTCCCGGAAAAGCCTAGCGTCTAGCCGACTCCGGAGGATCGGAGAGTTGGCTGGTCGAGCCGATTGGGTGAAACAGAATTTCGACGCTCAGCTCCGGCAGGGTACAAACAGGCCGCGCTAGCCATATCGCAATCTCTGCTCTAGGAAAGCATATCACAATACCTTCGTAAGGAACGATCTCTCCGACTAGTCTTGAAAAAGAATTGTCCAACACAAGATCCGCTTTGAAAAACAAGCAATCGTTAGGGAGGCCGAGATCTTTTTCGTGCTTGTACCACTGTAGTAGAAAAATCAAACCCGTGCACAAGTCGATAAGCTATCATATTTGCCCCTGATCGTTGGTGCTGTAGAGTGTCCCTGGAGGAGGGAGAACATACCGGCCTCGGCTTGGAAGAAAATTTCTCCTGGTAACTACTCATTGTCCATTTCACACGCGCTATGCCCATCGCAACACACGCTAAATCCGTCGCGGTACTATTTCTCATCTACTTCTCACAGCTGATTGGGACTGTCATAACTCCCCTTTTTTGGAAAAATCTGCTAAAATTTGTAGTGGGGGAGCGATCCTACTGACAGCGCCATTATCCACACCACCATTACCGCCTGCAGGTGTGAGATTAATGTTGGACTTGGCGTAGCAGAGGTAAAAGTGGTGTAGGTGACAATGAAGCATGCTTACCCGATGCGGTGGTTTCGCGATCAAACCACAGATCGGCCCTTGCCCGAGGCCAACGCCAAGACTTCTACCTCCATGAAAAGCAAGTTGATACCACATTTGTCTGGGAGGATAAGAACACCGACGTATATCGGCTAGCCACCGCAATTCATTTTATAGGCCATATCGCATTCAATAAGCCCCTACGATTCTGACCAATGAAAGAAGTGAATGGAAGAACTCTGCGTGCCGCATCTCAGGTTTATCAAAGGCGCAAACCCTGTCTTTTTTTATTCAAGCAGAACAAGCAACAAATTTCACTAATGCAACTTACTGAAGGTGAGTTTCCATATCTTGTTGACTTGGAAGGAGACTGGAAAACTTAGAGCGATACTTCGACATGAATTCGATCAGCTACAATGATCAATCATCAGTAAAAGTGAAAATATGAAAACACAAAAATCATGATGAACACGAGAAGAAACACCAGACAAGACTTTACCTTCTCCCTCAACCTGAAGTGCTCCTTTTCATTTCCTCCGGTTATCCACCAAGCCAATGTACGAAACAGGCAGTTGCCATCACCTCGAACGTCACAGCTCAACGGCATGTCTCGCAGGGAAAATTCAATCTCACGCCCGAAGGTACGCTTGCGCAGTCTGTAGGCGGAACACGTCAAAATGAATGATAAAAGTCGTCGTGTATATATTAAGAAGGTTAATAATAATAATAATTGGATAGGTTGGAAAACGCACTCGGGAGACCCGGAAAACGTGAATCCTAGCTTCGCACACCAGAACTTCTGGTAATCCTCGGATATCGGACGGAAAAACAATGTATTCTTCTCCTGAAAAATGCAATTTATGACTTAAAGTCACATTTTACGCTGACCATAGGGAACAGACTCAGAGATAAAACCTTCTCATTGATCGGCCTTTCGTGGAAGAAAGGCAAGGAGGGAGAGCGCTTAGTTAGAGAAAGCCCAGTGGTTTCAGTTTCTCCGCCCATACCACAGTAATATGTAGCTACAGCAAGCACAGAAGAAAAATGATTACAACCTTAGAAGTTAAGAAAAAATTACCTCATATTCACCAAGGACCGAAATATGTTCAGGACTCTGAAGGCAGTCAGCACTTTTACTCGATGATGGACGAGAAGGCCTCAAGGGTTCGGTTATCAAACGTGCATAAGATTCATTTGAATTGGATGAAGCATTCGAATTCGACGAGACGAGTGAACCCTGAAATTTCTATTGATTTTGATTGTTCCTACCTTGAAAAAATTGCAAGAACAGATGATTTTCATTGGGAGAAGAGAGAGGGTGGTGAAAGATATTGCAGCCTTCAGACAGTACAGAAGAATATGAAAGTAGCAGACGGTATACAAGAAGCGCCTACCCTCCTGTTACCTGTAATCTCTCATAACAAAAACGACTGAGGTCGAACGATACGCGTCTGGGCTACTTTCCCGTCTACAGCATGGGAGCGCCCATGTAATGGTAGTGCATCGTCGCGCGTCATCGCAGTCTGAACGCTCCCTAAAAGAGCGAACAGTTTGCTCTAAACGACCCCTTCACGATGGCACTGGACCTCTATTGGGAGTCGCCATAGGACTAGAAACGTCTGGTGCCGATGTCTCCAGGTGAGGGGTGAGCTGCCACAACGCGGAACTCCAAGCTACCTCCGTCTGTCCAGGAGATGGTCAAGACAACTGCAACTGGCCGCCGCTCGCGACGTTTTCTTAGCTTGCATTTGCCGTCGAATAAAGCACCGCATTTCATGAAGGCTACGACATCGTGGACATTTGCGGCTATTTTGGTTACACATTGTACACTCTTGCCGTCTACGACCTGGAAACATCGTCCTTTGCGAGCGTGATGCCGCACGCGACGCCCACCAGCGTGGCAAACTACGATGGTTTTGTCACGCCCCTCCCGTCCCGGGAATGATTGTAAAATCAACTTAAATGAGCACACCTTGGCTTCTACGGCTTCCTCAACGCGAGATCTCTTCTTGGGCACATCCCTATCATCAATTTGCAATGTGCTGACGTCACAGGCCAACTGTTGCTGAGCTGACTGGTTACTACCGGAAGTCGTTGCCTGTAAACAATAACAGACCAGCTGCTAACATTAGCTAATAATGCTTTTGAACACGGGATCCAGGACACGACAACATTGACGCAACCCTCCTCTTCCCTTCCCACATTCTTCACCGCCTCACACTACGAGAAGAGCGGCGGGGTGGGGGCGTGGGAAGGGGAAAGGCAACAATATTGGCGTTCTGGACTCGCTTGCATACCAAACGGGTGCCTTCGATAGACTGGAATCAACTACGTACAAAATTTTTCAAAAAAGAAAACGAACCTCTCCATCCGAAGTATTTTCCTTCAAATATCCTCCACTCTGTTTTACTAGGCTGGAGTCTGCTCCAACGGAAACATCACTTGACGGCACAAACACAACGTTCTCCTTTTCCTGCAAAACAAACTGATAGAAATCAAGAAAATATTTCTTAGAGGCACACAGGGCTTTATTTAAGAGGAAAACTCCAGAGGGGCTAATTTCTTCAACATTGAACCAGATTAGTCGAAAAGATGAGGCGTGCGTTCATACTTTGCGTCGGCGTACGACAGCGTATGCCAACGTTTCGAGCGACAAGGAAAGTATAGTCGCTCTAGCCTACGCTGGCGTTTTCACGGGCAGTTTTGCTCGACCGCAAATCGTCCACGAGAACGCTGGCGTCCGCTGGAATGCGCTATTGATATCTGTACTTTCCTAGTCGCTCGAAACGCTGCTGTAGGGTGGCACACCCTGGTGGACTTCCGAAAAGCTAGATCGATATCCATCCTTTCCTACTCGCTCGTAACGTTGGTGAACTCTGGCGTGCGCTAGATCAATACCTATACTTTCTCAGTCGCTGGCGCTAATGTACGCTCGAAACACACATCAGTGCCAGCGAACGAGAGCCTATGCTGGCGTACGCTGACGCAAAGTATGAAAGCAGCCTGACAGTACTTCTGGTTATGAAAAAAGGAAGATTTAACATGAAAACGAAGAATATATTCTAGACCACACTACTGCTGAACCCTAAATCATCAGAAGCTCCTTCATATAAGTACTAGCACTCTGAACAAACCACTTGCAAGCCAGAAGAAACCGGCGCCGCAACAACGTCCATTGCAGTGTCACCAGCATTTAGTTTGGCTGACGCTATCGGATCGTCCAGCTTAAACTATCAGAAATACACTCTATTCAAAATTTTCATAAAAAGCTGGTCCTCAGATGTTTCAACCTTGAATTTTTAAATCCTGATGGGTTTGCAATAATGCTGACTTATGGGTAAAAGTCTGACCTCAGGCGAGACTCGAACCCGCACCTCACGCTTCCCAGGCGAGTGTTTATCCGTTAGCCATCAGGACCGCTCCTACCTCGACCATCCGACCCTGCGGCTCACTGCCAGTATTTAACCCATTCGTGACAATGTCCGCCACTGGTGGTGGACACCGAAATGTCCACTTCGGACCATGTACACCATAAAACTTGTGCGCGACATTCTTTGACGACATTTTTTAGAAACAGCCTCAGAGTCCCGAGAAACTTTCGAGTGGTACAAAACTTCATTCAATTTATGCAGATAGTGGACCAACGAGATCTTCAGATATAAGGGTCCCGGACACGATTCAACTAGCAGCACCTGAGCCTAAAACCTCTAGAAAAATTTCTGTTGAAAAATTGCCGGTAGGGGTTATACTGGCGCCAATGGGCGCCAATTTGGTGCTATCATCTCTCCCACCCAAATTGATGGGAACTTGGATACTAGGGTTATTCGCTGTCCTTATCATTGATATGACATTCATTTTTAGCAGGAACGTTAGCGTAGGGCACAAGGGTTATCAATGCGATGCTGAGGCTGAGCTGCCTTTGAAGGAGGGAATCACTCCTCCGAGCTACAGCCTTTTCAGAGAGCTACACGGCGCTCATGCCATATAACGCTCCGCAAAGATAAAAAGCTATGTCTTATTTGTGATTGGGCTCTCCTCCCCCCCCCCCCCCCACCCACTGAGCTCGAATGCACAAACAGCTGCCAACCTTTCGCGAAAAAAGCAACGGCGAGTGCAAGTGGATCCCTATCGCGCCGATTAGCGTCGATGAAAAAACTATAGGCACTGTCAACCCTTTCACTGCCTCAGACATCCGGAACCAAGCCAACTTTCGACCAACTTTCTTTCTATGTGGACAGACTTGGCTTACCAGTCGTTTCCTGAGTTGGATTGATCGTTTGAACACGAGTACCACTTTCGCCAAGCTCAAAACCTCCTTGCCACCAGGAGGCTTTGAGCTATCTCACTATATCA